TCAGTGGAATGAGCACTTGCCTGCCAAGCACAGGGTCCTGAGTTCAATCCCTGGTCCCACAAAAATAAATAAATAAATAAAAATAAAATGATGCTGATAATTTTCTGAGCTTAAAATTGTTAAGTCCATTAAATACACAGATGCAATGTGCTACGTGTAAGATTTAAATATATCCAGCACCTTTTCGTAAGTAGCTAACTCACCACCTGTAGAGGGGCAGCTGTTCTTTGTTCTGCTTGGAACTTCGCCAGTACCATCACCACTCAGAACATCACACTCCTCTCGCAGTCTAAGCTGCGGGGTTCAGCACATGCCCCCGGATGTGTACGTCTTTGTTGCTACGGTTTTATAAAGAGGGGCCAAGCAGTCGCAGGCTTTACGCACAACATATGCATATGCTATTGTATCACTAAACCCTTTATCTTGTGTAGTACACTTGGGATAGTATATTGACAACATTTTCCCTATGGAGTTTTTGTAGGTTTTCTTTTTCTGTGTAGCTTTTCCCTATGTGGTCTGAGTTTCACAGGAGGATAATTTAATCATAATTTAATCTCAAGTTAATTACAAGGATAACTGAGTCGGATTGAGCTGAGGCCCTTTCCCGTGAAATGCAATCCCACCACTTGCTCAGCCCTTGGGTCTGTCACAAGCAGCCCTGCAGTTGAAGTCCTGCCTCCCCTGCCAGCTCCAGCCAAAGGGACGGGTGCAGCGGCCTCTCCTCCCGGGCTTGGTGCAGGCTGTTCTTTGCTGCCAATGCCTGCACCCCATTCCTCCAGCACTCAACAAACCACGGCTCCTCAAACCTCCATGCTTCACCTCCACCTGCAGCCTCCATTTATAGTTCTTTATTTCCTTCAAATGACTCATTTCTCATAAATAAATTGATATTTTTCAGGAAACGTTTGTATCGCTATCGTAAGTAAGAAATCTGTCTGAATAGCCGTAAAAATAAAGCAACCATAAAAATAACTACAAGGGGAATGAACGTTATTATCCTGTATTTAGATATAATTGCCAGCATCCTGTGGGTGGAGGAGGAATGAAGAGGCTTCACAAAACGTGTTAAAAAAAACAAAAACAAAAAAAAAAAAACGTGTTTAGTACAGAGTGGAGAGTTTTCCTCCTTGATATGTTTCAAGACTTGAAAGAAAACAGAAGTTAGTAACTTTCTTGATGTAATTGAATACTTAGTTCTCCCTGTAGTCACCCACTCGACACTGCAAGCCAATCTGTTTGTCTCCACCATTCATCAAGCAGCTCGGAGGGCGCAGGCAGCCGTGTTCAAAGCATGCAATAAAACAGCGAAGCGGACAAGCAGCGGGTCTGTCCTACAGATCCACAGTGGATCTGGGAAGTGCTATAAAACGCCATCCCTTATGAACACCAATTGTGGGTTAGAGCCTCTTGGCGTCTCCAACATCTGAGAAGCCATACTCATTCGTAAACTGAGATAGTGGAGACCAAATTTCGAAACTGATGATTTATGACTTTTCAGTTTTCATAGGGAAAACTGAACAGTGGAACGTGGAGCATCTGCATATATCTGATAAGCTGCGATGTGCGACGCTGAAGTGATTTTTTTTTTTTAAGCCCACAGGAGTGAGGGGAGAGCCCACTGCGTGGCGTGGAAGGAGCCTGGGTTCACCTTCAGGGTCCCTCCTGCGCCTTTGCCTAATTCACAGCTAACAGCTCGGGGCGCTTCTCGGCCTCTCCGCCTGCGCCGCCGCCGACGCCGCCGCCCGGGAGTCGACCCGGAGCGCCCAGTCTCCGCTGTTGGCTTCAAAGCCTGGGCACTTCCCCAAGAATCCACCAGTCTGGTCCGACTGTCTTACGGACCATTCTGGGAGCTCCCCCAGCATCAGCACCTGGCCCTCTCCTCGGGAGCCGGCTCCATGCAGCCCAAGGCTGCGGCGACAGGCAGTGGCACCTATTTCTCAGCACGCGCGGCCCAACTCACGTTAAACGGGGTTTGGGGGGCTCTGCAGAGGCACCCTAGATGGGCCCCAACGTTAGGGGGCACGAGCGTGGCTCTGGCAGCGCCTAGGGGTTGGTGAAGCTGGAGAAGTCTAGCCTAGGTCTGCGGCAGCTCGCTGCTGCGCAGGGAAGACGAAAGCAGAGCGCCCCCTTCTCTCGGGCAGATCTGCACTGACACCATCGCGGAGGGCATCGGGGGGGCTGCGGACAGAGGCGCCGGGAACACTCGGTTACCACCCCAACCCGCAGCGAGCAGGGTCTGGAAACCCTAAATTAGGCCAGGTCGGATGCCTGAGCCCCGAGAGCCGGCGCAATGGGGGTGGGGGCGAGTGAGTGTGCGGGTGCGGTACCCGCCCCGGGGGCGGAGCCAAGGCTCCAGCCCGCAGCGTGCGAGACCCGCGGAAATCCGCCCGGGCTCCCTCCCTGCGTCCGGGGATTGAGGTCGCAGCCGGCGTCCTCCGGCCTCCGGCTCTGCTGGGGCGTGAGGACGGCCTCCGCAGCCCGCTCCCACCCTGGCGCTTTCTGCAGCGGCGACCATGGCGCGGAGAGACGCCCCGCAGGACAGGTGAGTCGGGTAGGTGCAGTGCTTGCGGGGCCCAGAGTCTGTGGGCGGCGCTGCCCGCCTCCCGCTGCAGCTCCAGGGCGCCAAGACAGACTGCACTACAATTCCCATCAGCCGGCTCTCTGGGCTGCGGAGCCCTGGTAGTGGAGGTTGTAGTTTGTGTTCTGGAGGGGTGGCAGGAGGGGCTGCCCAGGCGTGCGTCCTAGGGGTGACCTTCTGACTGATCCCACAGCTACTACCTGGTTGGAATCAGCTTCTTCGTCCTGGGACTTGGCACTCTCCTTCCGTGGAACTTCTTCATCACCGCCATCCCGGTGAGGCTTGCTGTGGACTGACAGCCTCAGGCCACAGCCACCCGGGGTCTCTCCATCTACCCTGGACAGAAGCTTACCAGGCGGTCCCCACCATGCTTCCTTTGACAGAGCCTGAGAGGGAAATCCTTTCTTCTGGCCAGGAAGGTCTCTTAGGGGTCTGTGACCTGCAAAGGATCTACTCACCTGCTTCCTCAGTTTGTCGTTGATTCTGGGCCAGTCACTCCAGAAGTGGTTTAGGCATTTGGTTTTCTTTGCAATGGAATGAATAATTGTATTCATTCATTCATCAAACATTTAATGTGTAAGGAAGGCACTGGGAGATACAGAGAAACCAGGCACTGAACCCTAAGAAAGGTTAGGAACCTTACAAAGGGCTGTGAAACAACAGAAGTGTGGAGTGTGCTTTCTCTTTAGGATTAAATCATTCTTACATATTCAGTGGGGCAACTTTATAGATGTCTCTGGAGTACCTGGCTCTGCTCTCGGCCCTGGAAACCCAAAGATGAATTGGCCTCTGATTTTGAAAACAATAATGGGGCCAAAGTTATTAATAATGTAACATGCCAGCTGGTGGTAGCAGCATGGGCCTGCAGAGGCGGAGGCAGGAGGATTGAAAGTTCAAGTGCAGCCTGGGCAACTTAGTAAAAGCTTGTCTCAGAACTTAAGAATAATAAATAACTTTTAGGGCTTTTAGGTGAGTGCAAATGCCCCAAGTTCATTTTCCAATGCCAGGGTTTGGGGGAGAACATGACATCTGCCATCCCTGGCTTACAGCAGAGTATTGTGGGTCCCCAGGAGAAAAACATCGCTTCTGCTTCATAAAAGAGATTTGGGGTTCGGGGTGTGTTTTATGGATTTGTTTTTTTCACTTTTTTTTTTTTTTTTTTTTGAGACAGGGTGTCATGATGTAGTTCAGGCTGGCCTTGAGCTTACTTTGTAGCCCACTCTGGTCTTGAACTCATAATGATCCTCCTGCTTCAGCCTCCTAAGTACTGGGATTGCATGCATGCACCACCCACCTGGCTTGGATTTAGTTTTTTTGAGACCAAGCTTGCTGTACTGTCCAGTCCGGCCTTGACCTCACTGTGTAGCCCAGGTTGGCCTGAAATTTTCATCCTCCTGCCTCAGCTTCCCCAGCGCTGGGGTTAATGAGCATGTACTTCCACCCCTGAATTTGCATGAGAGATTCATAAATTGAGAGCTGGGTGGGCAAAGTGTACATGGGGACTTGGAGGAAAATAGAAAAGGAGAGGGCATTCCAAGTGACGGTCAAAGACTATTTAGAAAAAGACCCAAAGCCCCGGGGTGCCTCAAGTTTAGCAGAACAGAGCAAGGGACAGGACATAAAAGAGGCCGGGATCCAATTCTGAAGGCTCTCAAATGCTGTTCCAAATACTTGGGGCTTAGTGGGTTACAGTGGTGTGCACATGTAAATTCAGCTACTGAGGCAGGATTGCAAGTTCCAGGCCAGCCTCCACAATTTATCCAGGGCCCACCTCAAAACAAAACAAAAAAAGGGCTAAAGGGCTGGGGGTGTTGCTTAGTGACAGAGCACATGCTTAGCATGCACCCAGCCCTTGCTCCAGTCCCTACTACTATAAAATAAAACAAAAAACCCTTGGGCCTCTGCCCTGCAAGCAGTATAGGTGTGGGTAGAAAGTAGGAAGGGGGTAAACAGGATGCATTCCAAAAAAAATGCAGTGGCCCAGCACCTACGCAGAACCTAGCTAAGGGTGAGTATTCATAAGCAGCCGTAGAGTGCATAAATCTAGAGGTGTGAGGGTGGGGCCTGAAGCCAGGGCCCTGAAAGAGGGCAGGGTGTAGCAAGACCCATGCAGGGAGGATCCTAGGGTTTGGGCTCTGTCCCAGACTTCAGCCAGTCAATTCAGTGCACATCCATAGAACTTGGACTATGCCAGGGGCTGGGGACAGTACAAGGACAAGGCACCCATAGTAAGCAATTTTAAGTATGGGGGTGGGTACACTGAGGGATCCCTGACCTATACTGCCTTCCTTCTGACAGTACTTTCAGGCACGCCTGGCGGGGCTGAACAGCACAGCCGAGACCCTGAGCTCCAACCACACAGGTCCCACAGACACTTTCAACTTCAACAACTGGATGACACTGCTGTCCCAGCTGCCCCTGCTGCTGTTCACCCTCCTTAACTCTTTTCTGTACCAGTGGTGAGACCCTGCCCCAGGCTGCCCACCCTCCCCCTCCTCACTCTGTACTGCCCCGGCCCACTGGCCTGCCCTTGGTAGAACCTCTTGCTTGCCTTCACGTGCCCTCTACTCCCTTCCAAGCAGCATTCCTGAGGTGGTGCGCATTCTGGGCAGCCTGCTGGCCATACTACTGCTCTTTGCCCTGACAGCAGCGTTGGTCAAGGTGGACATGAGCCCAAGGCTTTTCTTTTCCATCACCATGGTTTCCATCTGGTTCATCAACTGTGAGCACTTCTTCCCTCCTTCCCCAGCTTCTTTGGAATCTACGGGACCCAGGAAGGGAAAACCAGCATTATCATTCAGATCCCTGATGAAGAAACTGAGGCCCAGTGGGTCTAGAAAAGTCATCTGCTGCAGTCCCATAGTGATATAGGACCAGCCTCCTGGCCCCGACCCCTATAGACCAAGGGCTGAACCTTAGAAGGGGAAGGAATGTGGAATATTGCATCAGAATAACCAGGGACCCTTAAGAAAGCTCATCTCTGCCCACTGAGTCCATATTTGCCTGCCAGTGCCTCCTCCGTAATGCTCTTGAGGTCACCAGCTTGAGTGGTGGCTCTATACCTGTCCATCCACAGCCTTCTGCGCAGTGCTACAGGGCAGCCTCTTCGGACAGCTAGGCACCATGCCATCCACCTACAGCACCATCTTTCTCAGCGGCCAGGGCCTTGCTGGGATCTTCGCTGCCCTTGCCATGCTCATGTCCATGGCCAGTGAGTAGACTTGGAGGGCTGCGATGGCCTCTGGATTTTGGAGGAACTGAGAGGGTGTATAAGAGGAAGCTGCCTAGGTAGAGACAGGATTGGGTCTGAGTCTGGGGAGTGGGGCTCTTGGGTCCTGCAATGAGAGAGAATGAGCAGGTAAGGCCTGGGTTAACCTGGGGTGGGAGCAGGATTCCTGTGAGTATCAGTAGTATGCACCAGCAGGTTGAAGGAGAGGAGGTAGGTCTAAGATTCAGCTAGATGAATTTGAATCTGTCTTACTGACTGGGGTCATTGGACAAGACATTTAACTTCTCTGTACCGTAGCTGCCTCATGTAAATGATGATAGGTCTCTGCTCAGGTTGTATTGAGCCTGCATACAATAAAAGAAAATTTGTGGTACATAGTAGCTAAAAGTAGAAGGTGGGAAGGGCTATTCTTGAATTTGTTTGTGAAATAAGGAGAGGAAGGTGGGAGATGGACCTGAGATATGTACTAGAGAAAGTAGGACAGGAGGCACCTGTCCTAAAAGGCCCCACGGGCCTAGGCACCTGTCCTCTGCAGCTGAAGTTTGTTTCTGTCACAGGTGGTATGGATGCCCAGACCTCTGCCCTGGGGTACTTCATCACACCTTGTGTGGGCATCCTCCTGTCCATCGTGTGTTACCTGATCCTGCCCCACCTGGTGAGCCTGATATTGGGCTGGAGGACTCGCAACAGGGCATCTCAGATGGAGCTCTGAGTCCGAAGCCCTGAGGTGCCAGGGGAGGTAGAAGAGATTTGAACTCAGCTCTGATTTCCCCAAAGGGTCAGCAACCAGGGAACCCCAGCCTCCAAGCCAATGTGGGGAGGGATCCAGAGCACCTTGCCTCAGACAGAGCTGACAGGTCCTGATCCTTCCTCAGGAATTTGCCCGCTACTACCTTGCCAAGAAGTCCTCACACGTCCCAGCTCAAGAACTGGAGACCAAAGCTGAGCTCCTTCAGTCTGGTAAGCCCCAAGACCTGCAGGGCAGGTGTAAGACATGGAGGAAGCATGAGCCAGCTTCCCTGGGAAGGATTCTCCTCTGTCCTCACTAAAGTTCCATCCCTAGGAGGCGTGTGTGAGCAGAAGACTATCACAAAAGTCATCCTTAAAAACAAAACAACAGGGGCTGGGGAGATGGCTCAGTGGAATAAGCACTTCCCTAGCAAGCGCAAGGGCCTGAGTTCAATCCCCGGTTCTGCCAAAAAAAAAAAAACCTTATTTAATTGGTACAGGGTTTCACTACACAGTTCAGACTTGTAGTGAACCTCCTGTCTCAGCCTCCCCAGCACTGGGATTACAGGCATGTGCCACCACACCCAGTTTGGGGGCAGACATGACATGTGGTACCAGGATGGAACCCTTGTCTTTGTGCTTGCCAGACAGGTACTTAGACCACTGAGCTATCTCCCCAGCTCCTTATAAAAGTCATCCTTGCTGCCCTTTTGGTCTCAGGTTTGTCAGTAGCCATCCACCATTAGTGTGTTATCATTGTTTCAATACTAGAAGGCAACACAAGCCCAGGTTTGTCCCCAGAAAAACTATTGTTGTATTATTCAGAAAGAACCTGGAGAGTATCTAGATGTAGTAGTCTCCCTATAAGCCTCTCCATGAAGTAAGAAGAGTTGTTTCTTCTATATAAAGGAGAGGCAATAGAGCTTCATGCAGTAAACTCTGGATCCCAATGCAACTGAATTTGAATCCAACTTGTGTGGCCTTAACACCTCTAGCTTCAGTTCCTGATTTAAAAAATTATTAGGGCCAGCCAAATAGCTTAGCGGATAAAGCACCTGCAAGGAGGCGCAGGGGCCGAGGGTTCTATCCCCAGGCCTGCCATGCCAGCCCCGCCCCCGCAGCACCCTGAGAGGGCAGTTGAGACTGGGCATAGTGGTATGCTCCTGTAATCCCAGCTCTTGGGAGGCTATAAACAGGCGGATCACTATGAGTCTGATCTAGTAGTAAGAACCTAAACACCCTGTAGACCCTTCCCTAAAATACAAAAAATAAATAACTTAATTAATATTTGTATTTGGTACAGGATCTACAGGGCCTCACTACACAGATGAGACTTGTAGTGATCCTTCCTGTTTTTTAGCCTCCCAAGTGCTGGGATTACAGACACTTGCCACCTTGCCCAGTCTCAATGGCCGTCTCAGCGCACCCCAGGGGTGGGGCTGGCATGGAGAGCCAGAAGGAAAAAAATTATCTTTTTGTTGTTGTTTTTTTTGAGACAGTCCTGCAATATAGTTCAGAGTGGCCATGAATCCTGTAGGCATCTAGGTTAGCCTTGAATTCATGGCAGTCTTCCTGCCTCGGCCTCCCACATGCTGGGATTATAGGCCTGTGCCATCACACCTTGCAATTTTTATCTTTTTTT